GTATTAGGGATGCCAAGCAAATACCCGAGTCCTGATATTAAGAGAGCTGTAGCCTCTCCAACCTTGCTTTAGAGTGTTCATTTCGCCCATCTCCCTGAGTGACAGAAATAAAACACACTTTTTTTTAAAATGAGGGTCACATGCATTCCCTCCCCACCTCCCCAGTGCAGTTTAGGAAGTGGTGCCCTAGTTTGGACAGTAAGTCATCCTGTGGCACTGACTTTGATCTGTGTCCTTTGCTGGAGAGAGTAAATGTGGCTCAAAGGGAGCATAACAGGAGCTGACCAGCACTGTAGATAGAATTACAAGCATTTCCATTATCTTACTAACAGCATGAATTGCCACAAACCAGTTGCTCTTTCCAAGTTTTTAATAGAAGAAATCAAGCACAGGAAGGCCACACTTAGGAGCCCTGGGAATTATCACCATCTCTTACACCAACACTGACCCTGCCATACCTGTAACTCAAATGTGCTAGGATGCATTTTCAAAGACAAGCAAGCTACCTCCAGTAACTTCACTGCACCACAAAAGCAGTTGCAGGACTAAACTCAAGCTTTTAGTTTTATTCCCATTTTAATAATATATTTAAATCGACAATACCCAGAGAGTACAGCTCTTGGTCATAGTTAAAGGGGTGTGCAAGTAGCTACACAGGCAATCTACATCCCTAGAACTGATCGCATGGCTGGACACTGGCCTCTTCCTTTAACTTTTAACTTCCTTTAGCTTTTATAACCCGTGTCCCTCAATGGGTTAACTACTTTGTTTATCCCATTTGACCTCTTCAACCCACCTTTGCTTCTTTCTGCAGGGTCTCCTCTTTTCTGCTCCCTTTTCCTATCCTTTGTATTTAAATGATTTTATTCTTTTCTTATTTAGTATCCCAGTTTTCTGAAAGTCCATTCATGGCATCTGACAAAGTAAGCTGTCTACATAAGCTCATGCCCCTCTGAATAAGTTAGTTTCTAAGATGCCACTCTCCCCCACCTTTTGCCTGACTACAGACTAAAGTGATTACCTCTTTCCTCTCTTCTTTTAAGTAGATATCTGTTTCTAATGGCCTGAAAACTTGATCTGAGAGGGCTACATACAACAAACTCCACTGGGTCAACCCCCACAATTTAATAATACTCCTTTCAAAACAATCTAAGCAAAAAAACTCCAGCCTCAAAGAGAAAACAAATTTTTATATATATTTTGCTCTCAGCAGTCAAAAAACACTTATGCTGTATCCTTTTTATTATCATTACTATCATCTTTCAATAAATGTCCATCTACAAATTCATTAACTTTTTTGAGACAAATCAGTGGCATCCTAATCTTCCAATTCCCATGAAAGACACACTTTTAAGATACAATTGCAGCTGCCCCACACTGCCAGTTACTGTATCATACACGTCTTAAAATTCTGTAATCAGCAGCCACCAGGTGCCGTATCACATTCAGCACACCACAGTCAGTCAATACAGACATCCCCAAACACACCAAGGCTGGTTTTGTCAAATGTTTTATTGAGTGTAGACATCTGGAGTACTGTAAAACATGCATTATCTGTAGATTCAAAAAGGAGCAAGCCACATTGTCCTCACTGTCAAACGTGTCAGGCTTGGCATACATGATGGAGATTAATGAAGTATCATGAGAGTAATATGGTTCCTGAAAAGCTTCTACAATTTGGAGTAGGGTCTTAATCGTTTGAAATTCAAAGCTGTTCACATTTAGTGAACTTGTATGTTCACTGGGGGTGCCATATTTTAATTCAAAACAAACAAGTAATTTCAATTTGGGGGGGGATTTTTCCCTAGATATATACTGTATGTTTTCTGTTTTCAGATATTCCTGTCTAAATAAAAATTCATATGCCTTTTGAAGCAGCACAGTTTATTTCTGATTAATGAACAACATATGATATTCATTTCTTCTTGGGTTGTTGAGGTGTATTAAATTTAAAGAAGATAATATCTCCATCCTCAACTATGTAATTTCTGCCTTGTTGTCTGTATTTTCCAGCAGCCTGAAAATAGAAAAGACAGGAAAGAAATGAATTACTACTTTAACCACAAGCATATAAAAGAAAACCCCAATTTAAAAGTATTATATATTTTGGTTAAAACAAAATTTAAAAAAAATGACGACTCTGACACTTGTAACACCTTGATTTGGTGGAACTGGATTTTAGAATCATAATTTCCTCTCCACTGAAATTAGATTTTATTACATGCTGTTAATGTTACATTTCTATGTTGCCTGTAAACACTAACTCATTAGATACAAGTGGATAAAATACATCTTAAAAATATTTTTCTTTTAGCTTTTAAGGGTTTTATTCCTGCTTCTAAAATTTCTTCAGGGGCTCATCATCACTTTAAGACTAGTCATAGAGGAGGACAATCAACCCATGGTTTAAATCTTAGCAGTATGGCTACCAAATAGTATACAGACTCCTTCCAGGTGCTCTGCTGATGTTCTTCCATCAAATAAAAAATAGAGTTAAAAACAAAAGATGGGCTCAGCACGCAAAAAAGTTGTAATTGTGCATGCCTTACTTTTCAAGCAGAGTACTCTTCTATGCTTTTGCACAGAAAATGAAGAGCTGTTGTTGGGTATTTCTTTAGAGTAATTTAACTGTGATCAAATTTGCTGGTGATACAAAAAATGGAAGCATATCAAGTACAGAGAAGGATAGAAATAACTGCAAGGGTAGGGGTGAAGAAGAAGGCTGAGAAGACTAAAGGAGGTTTGGTACTATCCTACTCTCCACTTCCTTTATTCAGGAAGAAGAAATAAATAGAGCAGATACAAAATAACCAGCAACTCTACTAAACATCAACATCCATTAAAGCTTATTAATTTTTTCCTCTCCAATTCTGGTCTATTTTTTAAAAATTAAGCCAACTGTTCTACTAGCTACAGGGAAGGTATGGAGTCAAAATTTGGGGGGAGGTGGTCTGCTTTCTATCAATAAATATATATATATTTTTAACCAAAGGACCTACAGCATAGAAAACTTGTGAGTCACTGCTCCAGCTCAACAGCCCTTCCTGTTTTGAAATTTCCTCTTGCAAGGGAAAGTGCTTCCATGCAAGACCTCACTGTGCCATTATTCTCAATGACACTGTCACAGTGGTGGCACACTAAGCTCCCATTACACGAAAGCTGTTAACTAATGACCTTAGTTACAGCAGAATAGATCAGATTAATGCTACATAGTTACTTTAACACCTTTCTGTCAGAAAAACTTGCTCTGCAAAGCAACATGTTTCCTATATTGCTGCCTAGGAATCTAGAAGCTCAATGATCTTGTAGCTGTCATTCTTGAGTTCAATGGCACAACCGGTGATTCTAACCTACAGTAAACCTTAGATGTAACAGCCTGCACAATCAACAAACACTTACTGCCACAGTAATTACCTTATCCCATCTGACACTTTATTAATATAGAAATAAAAGCTTATACATGTTTTTGTATTTTTCTTTTGAAAATGGGTTTACACTATAAAAGGTTTGCTCTCAAGGCATATTAGTAGGTCTTCCCTTTGAAGAGCCCAATAATACTGACAAGTCAAGAGTAATCAGATTATTTGGTTATATAAGCACTAATAAAACTGTTAAAAAAAAAAATCAGTAAGCTACAACACAGGTAAATGGAATTTCTACAGTTAATACATAAATTATTCACACATATTTACAAATAACTTGGTCTACACAAAATAAATGTTAATTTTTTCTAACATACCACTGCACACTGTATAGTCAGTCTCCTTTAATTAAATACATTTTGACACACTAATGTAAGTTTGTGTGTTTTGTTTGGGTTTTTTTTCACCAGTTTACAATTAATTAAAAGTGACAGTGTTCCTTTAAATTCTCTAGAGACCATTTAATCCATTTCCATTGCTATCAGAAACACTGGTTGAAAAAATCAATACCCATTTGTGAATCTTGAGTATGTATTAAACAAGACACGTCTAACCAGTTCATTTGCACTTGAAAGCAGCCATCTGTAGAAGCCAGCTTTGCCTAAGCAGATATGATTGCTAATAATGTGATATCCCTGTAGACTACAAAGCCCACACAGAGCTATTCAGTGTATAGTTCACAGCACTGGCATTAAATTAGTTATGCTGTACTGGTGTTAGACACACAAAATCAAACTTAAAAATCGATCAACTTGATAACATACAAAGCAAGCAACTCGCATTACTACTGTTATTTCAGATTACTCCAAAATGCATCCAAATTCAGCTTAGAAAGGCAACGTAAGGTAATTAATATTGCTTATAGCCCAAGATAGTCTATTTAATAAGATCTACGTAATATCATTTTTTTAAAACAAAGATTTTATTTTACTTCAGTTTTAAAAAGTTTGTTATTGGCAATGCAAATGTGCATACTCTAGTGATGCATTATAAACTGTACCAAAATCTTATTATAATTTTATATTTTTAGCAAAACCTCACATTTCTGGATGCTTACATTATAAAAAATTAAATAAAAACATTCATGATCATAATAGGTACTAATATAACATTGTTTTAGGCAGATTCTTAAGCTCTGTACATCATGAGGTACTTAACTTACTCTTGGCATAATTCAATTCTCAGCAACACAAACAAGGTTTCTGATGCTAGAACATTAGATTTATTTATGGCTGTGGCTTAGTTGTACCACTGTAATTCCACTTCCCTTTCTGGAAGATAGTTCACATGCCACAATGAACCAATTATAGTGGGATTTTTTTTTCCACTTCCTGGGGTTCAAACAGACCTATTAAAGCCCTGCTGCTCAGTATGATCTTCCTTAGCGATACTCCTAAGAATAAGCTCAATCTGAAATGACAGTTTTGCATACCTTTCAAGCTATCAAATAGAAAACAATGAGGCAAAGCCTTTCAAATTCTTTAACACAATACAACAGGGACTATCAAATACTGAGGTGGGTTAAAATAACTAACTTTTTATATAATTTGTAATTTTAACATACACATTTAAATAAATGTCAGCAATGCTACATAAGCAATACAACACCCATCAAATCTGTATGAAAAAGGGAACTATCGCTCCCTTCTAATACAAGCAAGAACTGAACAAATACAATAGCAATAAAAAACAGGATAGCTCTTCTTAAGGCACTGATTTGCTACATCTAATTTATCTCCATGTTTAATAACTGCAAATCAGATTTAATTTATCTGCTGTAATAAGGGCACAACTTTGGGCACCCAATCAGTCTCTGCCCTCTAGTGTTGAGAAAGCAGATAAAATTTCTCATCTTAATAAAACTCTAACTACAAAGTACCAGAAGGGGAAAAAAGTTTTCAGTACCTATTCAGTAAAAAATAGCCAAAAAACTTGGTCTGCTATATTTTCCCAAGCTACATATAATTACTAGGGGCACTATAAAATCAGGATGCTGAAAGATAGATTTGATCCTCAGACAGAAAATATTGCATCTATCAAGGTAAAACTAGCTACCTAAAATGGTAGATGTTATGCTTTTAATGATTGTGACCAGAACCTGATTAGATTTCACTGCTTTAAAAATGCACTTCTGTAATAATGTAGTCCCTTAAACATTTGGATTAGAAATTTGTATAGTAATGGCTTCAGTGATAATAGAAAATAAATTTACTTTTTATTTAAAAATGCAGACAGCTAGTGATTTTAAACTAATTAAAAAGTTAGATATCTTTTCTGATTCTATAGAGTCAAAAATCATTTTAAATCTTACCAAAACACTAGCTTGGTCCTTCCTATTAAAATATAATAGCTAAAACCATACATGCATGCAAAAGTTAAGAACAACTCTTGCTCTTAATGTTGACAATCAAATCAGTCCCTTAGCCACCATATCTTGGTAACTAAAATTGTCACATCTTTGTTAGTTAAGTTATTGTATTTTAATTCTTTCACAAGTATAGAAAGACAATACATCTGTGGTCTATTATTAGAGGTGACTGTCAGATTCACTTACCACCAGGGACTTCTTTCCAATGAAAAACAGACTTGAAATGGGAAAATGGTGTGTATGGAGGAGGGGAGAAGGAAAAGATGGGGAAGCTCACCTTGACAGCTGCTTCCGAACCTCCTTCTTTAAAATCTTCATATTTCATTACTTCAGCCATAATGAATCCCTTTTCAAAATCTGTGTGAATCTTTCCTGCTGCCTGAGGAGCCTTCGTCCCTTTCTGTCAAAGAAAGACCAGAAGAAAATTAATTGCATTTAAGAAGATTGATTACAGGAGAGCGATTCCTCCTTTCTGGTATGCTTTTCAGGCTCTGCTGAAACTTTGTTTCGTATCAGTTAAAATGTCAAGCACACAACTGACTAATTCTCAATATTGGGACACAGATAGATGCTTGTACCACAGATAAACCAACTGATATTTAAAAGCAGCTTTGTTTTTTCTAATGGTTATCAAAAGCAGTATTGATTTGAGAAGCTGTAATTGCGTTCTGTTGTGGGATTCATTTCGATCTTTAGTTCTCCATACAGAATCCAAGGAACATAAAATTCTACGTAATTTTTAAAGCTGTATTACCAGAGACTTCAGTTGTGTTTAAATATACATTCTCCGCTTTTCAAACAGACTACAGAATCTCTAAAAGTAATACATTTGGAACCATAAAAATACATTACTATGTAGCTTAAACCAAATGATAATATGACTTTATTTCCAGAATTATTTTAACAAGTCTAAATATAGAACAAATGCATATATATTTTTTAAAAGCTGTCACCCACTACTACATCTAAAATTCAATAATTAAAATTATAACTGCACATATTCATGCAACCATCACAAGAGAATTTAAGTTCATGGAGAAGAAAAAAATGCAGCATAATTGCTGCATAGCTTAAATTACAGGACATACATTCTGTGCACATACAACCATGGAAAGAAATCTGAGAAATAATGGCGACCTAAAGGCTGCTTAATAAAGCATGTTAAAGTGCTAAAGAGTCTGACACTGTAAAGCACAGTTTTTACAATAAAAGATGTATTGGGTTAATATGGCTACTCACTGATGCTTACCTGACTAAATATCTTAGCACATTAAATCACAGATACTTACAATCAGTCTCAAGATAAACCAGCTTTCAAATTTTCTAGTAAAGGGCAAGCATTGCTCCTATTGAAAACACTGGACTTTTAGAAGGTGCTTTTTAAACCGGCAAATAACGAAGAGCGGCAAAACATGCATGCTTGATGGTATTTTGTGGACTTAGGTACAAGACCCTGTCTAAGAATAATCACTTAAAAGGGTGAAGTAGGGGGAAAAAGTTAATAATACTCATACATAAGAAAATTGTTTTTAAATCTTTGTTGAGATGCTTCAGCAGCCATAGTAACATTAAATAAAAATGATGGAATTACAGCAGTTTTTGAAAGCAAAAATTACTTTAAAACGTAAATCAAAGCACAGCACTAAAACAGACATACAACACACACCACTTCCAAAACTTGGTATTTTTGCAATCTGTAATACGGAGTTTGTAAGTATGGGCATTTCACAATATTTTTTCAATACTCATCTCTATAATATTCTCTTCTTTCAAATATAGTATTTACATTCAAAAGCAAACCACTACAACACAGCTTATTGTCTTCTGGGAATAAATTAGTCAGTCTCTATGGCTGTAATCAACCTATATCAATATTTAAAATATATATAATATAATTTTTGGCACTAGGAACCACAGAGAAAACTATCAAGATTAACTACTTCTACATATTCAAATCAGTAAAAGATATGAATTATTACACACTGGTTTTAGGTTTTTTGAGCTCAACTGTGTATCCATGAGGAGTATAATGATGTTATATTGCTTTTATTGCTGAAAATGTAATCCGAGCAAAGCAAAGGAGGAAAGAACCACCCGCAACCCAAACAAACTTAGCGAATACAAAATGAAAAGCAACATCAATTTCACTGCAGACAAACCCAGTCACACAGATTAAGCAAGCACAATACTGGTACGTCTTATCTCTGACCACAGGAGGAGGGTAGACAGATTCTACAGGATGAAGAAATTCAGACTATGTAATAGGCAGAATCAATTGTTACCTGCCTCAATCAATGCAGCTCCACTTTCACTGTTCAGCAGCTCACAAATAATTAAAGTTATCCTGGACAAAAACCTCATCTGTAATGACTAGCTAACCGCCACCATGACAAACTTCAAAGTCAGTGATATCAATCTGAATTCAATAGTGTGGAACTGGATATAGCTGATGAATAAGTATGAATCTTACCCTGATGGTCCATGCACGCACTTCATCTGGGCCTGCAGTGAAAAAGTATTCTAGTTGGAGTGCCGCATACCCAGCCTTAATGATCTTTGGTAAAGCACTGAAATAAAATGAAACCAATTCATTCAATATATACACAAGAAACAGCTAAATGCCTCCAGTAATCAATCTGCAGGAAAAGCATCACACATTTGGAAGACATGGGCTCTTCCCCCTATTCTACACTTTCAAACATGTTGACAAACAGGGCAGTTAAAGAAGAAAAAGCTTTTAGAAGAATTACTTTTTGCTATACTATCTTAAAGACAGCATTTTGATTTGTTTATTCAGAAAACACACAAAAAGAAAGGGTAAATTTAAATCATCCTTTCACACAGTACTTCTGGTCTCATGCAATTTTCAGAACCGTAGGTCATAAAAGCTGAACCGTTTGACTGAAATTCAATATTGGAACAATTTATTACAGATATTCAGAAAAATGATGGCAAATTTTTCCTCCACCAGCCCCATTCCCCAGGATGAAGAAAGAGTTTTGGTGATCATTCTCTCTCAAAAATATACATAACTAATACCTATGTTATAATTAAAACACTGTACAGAGATGACAGATGACAGTTAAAAACTTAATTTAAAATAAATCTTTTCACTCTGTCTCATGGTAAAGAAAGGAGAAGATTCTCTCTTTATAATGGTAATTACTCTGTCATTTATTATTCTATCAGCGCAAGCAATTAAATTACTGCAAGGAAATAGTTGATAATAAAGTGTAGGGAAAATGAATGCTAATTAACCTTTGTGTCATGTTCTCTTCCAGATACTTCTGTTTCTCCTCAGCACTCATTTCTTGCAACTTGAGTTCCAAGGCCCCACTAAAAGGAATGACCAAAGCACCTGGGTCATGCTTGTCCACCCACTCTTTAATTTTTATCAACCTGTAGACAAAAAAGGGCACAACATTATCTTGTAGTGCATGCATGACTGTACCACATTCATTATTATCAAGTAGCACATACATATTCATAAGAATTGCACGGTTTTATGATGCCATCTTTTTGTGTATTGCTTTCCAAGGTCAAGGCATTAACAGGCAGTAATTGCTTCAGGTGTACTCTATTAATATTTTACTGTTATCTAGTTTTACTTTAAAATATATGAAATATGAATAATTTTAGAAAATAACAAAATCTTTGGATAACAGAGATATGCAAGTTGGAGCACCTTGATTCTATAAAACTTTCAGCTTCTGTAAACTGAATTTTTCTTACTTCCAAGTCACAGTCCTAATATATGATAAGGTAAAATAAAATCTTTCCTTTTTCCTCTGACTTTGGCTTCTATGATTGTGTCCCAGGGACTTTTAAAGCAGCTGATACTCAGGTGGAAAGAACACCAGACTCTATCAGCTCCTATACAGCAAGCAGCACCCTGGTACCGCTGGCTATTGATCTTGGAGTATATCACAGCTAATGAATACAAGATCGCATGTCTCTTCTGGTTTGTCCCACCCCTCCATTACCTCTTCAGGAAAATACCCCTCAATAGTAGTGATAGTTTTTACTTTTTTGTTAAATGAAGAACCAAAGAAATCTCTCTCCATTTTCCAATAACTGACAACACCAGCTACAGTTTTGCTGCTTGTGAGCTAATGTAATCCAATTTTTACACATTCAAAACTGCAAGATTAGAACTTTAGCTTTATAAAACTAGTTTTTGAAGGTTCGGTGTTTTATTGTTTCTATCTTTGTAAATCTGTACATTTATAACTATAGGAAATACAATATCACTGCAATAATTTCAACAGTAAAAATGTAGTCACATTCCTCTATACTGAAATGCAACAGAACCATTAATAAATTACCAAAACATAACCTTATTCAGGTAATATTATGTATAGAGGAATATTTCATACCAGGTGTGAATGGAAAGAATGACAGCCTTATATGTTCAGGAGTAAACATAACAGGTATGGTGTACAGGAAATATTCTTGCAGTCTAGAGGTATAGAATTCAATATAGCATTGTGGATGCTATAGATGTTTCAGATCTAAAGCACCCATACAGCATATGTTTTTACGCTTGCTGAGTTCTTATTCTTAGTCCTACTAATCTCCAAGATTTATACTAAGGTTTTAACAGCTATTATGGTAAAGTGCTTTGAAACTGTGGCCTACAATCCTTTAAATAATCAATGCAAATGTCACTTCAGAAAAAAAATGAACTAAACCACAAGTTCATCAACACACATTTGTCAAAGAAAATAGCAGGGGATCAGAGCTATTATGAGATTAAGTGCATGGCCCACTGAGTAGGGTTTTAGATGGGACAAAGAATATAAAAGTTCACTCGACAGTTTTCACACGTTTGTTATATAAGGCTGGTCTTCTATCGTTTACTTATGTAAATACGCCATCAGTGGTTTTCAATCCTCATTATACAAGTCTTTATTTCTTTTAGTTATCCAGTGAAAATATAGCGTGGTAAAAAAGAATATATCGGGACAGTTAATGCTACAGAGTGTCTAAACCAAAAATCACAGTTAATTGATATTTCTGAAATTTCATAGGACATTTAACCTCAAAATAAAGTACTTCTGAAACTGACATATTAAGCAACAAACTTAAATTATATGGATATCAAAAGCCACATCTGACATGAGCTGGCTTTTTACGCAAAAAGTTACCTAAAAATTCTACTAGTCAAACTGTACTTCAGTGCGTATACACTATTTTTTCTTAAAGTAAACATTTAATAAGCTGACTTCTAGATTGATTAAATAATGGACCACGTGACCAATTGAACAAAAGCATAAACCACACAAAGTAAAGTGAAATCTGTAAAAATAATATCTAAAATTGGATTCAAATTTTGTTTTGTAAATATGGTCATCATAACTAATAAACTAAGAACTATTGTGGAACAACAAGATAAGAAATAATTACTTCGGCTAAAACACCAATTCAGAATAATAATAGTCTTACACTGTCATTTTAACAGCTTTTCTATTGAGTCCTTAGAGGGATTATTTGCATTCCTCAGGTATTCTATTGTACAATTCAGATGAATAAAGACTTACAAATCATTCCTCTACCGCCAGTGTGAGACTTTGATCCAGTGAATACACCATTGTACCTTAACTATAATTGGCAAAAAACCTGACAGTGTAGAGCATCACAAGCTTAATAACAAAGGAGAATATCTCAAAGTGTT